CAGGAAGCAAGAACTGACTCTTTCAAATTAGCTTTGGATAAGAAGTGCCATTATGGAATGTCATTTACAGAGGCTACACTTTTCTGATTTTAGGATAAGGGAAAATTGTGGAATGTTTTTAATTCAAAACAATCTTGGAACTAAAAAGGGTCTACATTCATTTTTCCATTTGATATAACTGAGCTAGAAGCTTGGATTCAGGCGATATTGGTTATACGGTATGAGGACATGAAAGGGAACAGCTGCCCAACTTTTTACAATAGAAACAGCTTAACAACACTAGAACCTCATTTCAATGGTAAAACATAAGAAACCAAACCAAACATCAGAACCGGCATGAAATTAGAAAAATAGGGGTTTTGTTTTTAAAAATGTCAATGTTTTTGTTGTGGGGTTTTGTTCTGAGGTTTTTCCCCAGTAAAAACTTACAAGCAACATTTATCTTCACTTTCAATAAACAGCTTAATTTTCCAGCTACTAGCTAGCCAAAGTGCATCAATAATGAAGCTGCCCTGTTGAAATGATTCCATTTCAACAGGGCAAATGGGATCATTTGCCCTGTTTCTCATTGTTTCTCAAACAATAAGAAAACGTTTAATGCATTCAGTTATTTAGAAGGAATTGTTAGATTATTGTCTGTAGTAAAACACACTCATTTAATAGAGACGTATTAAATGAGCAGAGTAAGCTGTTGAACCAGAGAGTAAAAATCAACAAGAATATGGTCACTTGCTATGATGTTTTTGTATTTTTGGTAGCAGACGTTTACGCTGCCCAGACATTTTTAACATGTTCCATTTGGTACTATACTTTTTAAATGGGAAGGTTTCTGCTACAGACCTCATAAAATCTACTAGCAGTCTTCTGTGTAGATAAAAATCTGACACCCACTGAAAAAATGTTGAAGTACAAGTCAATTCAAAGACATAATTAATCCCAGAGGGAACATAGACGTTGTTCTAACTCATACAATTCTCTTCAAAGAGTTGTTGTAGATGCTAATGACGTTGTGGCTGATGAGCTTTCAAAATGTTACACTTTTAAATGTTAGTTTTTATTTATGTCCAATATATTCAGTGATGGAATAAAACTGCATCCACATGCAGAGGTTCGCTAATGAAGCAGGTGAAGGAATTGCTCCAAGTTGTAAAAAGTGGTGAAGCACGCTTGTGTTTTTGCTCCGTAAGGTTTTGAACCAATACAAATCTAATCACAACAATGAAATAAAACACGCTTTATCTCAATGTGTTCTCCAACATTTATATAACTGTGAATCAATTCTGAAGGTTTTAATGATAAAAATGCACTTTATTGCTCTCGCTTAGAATGAATCAGATTAAATACTGTAGAAAACTGAGCGTTATCATGCTATTCAGGTAGAGCATCAGCATGCAGAACCATGCAGGGGTCATGGACATCTGTGTTACACAGGCTTTAGAAAGGTTTTCATTGGAGGATGAATTCTGTCTAGTTTATCACATTTTGTAACATAATGAAGAGCCCGAGTCACGCTGTACATTTTTAGCTAACTCACATTCTAAATAAGCAGCATCAGTAGTCATCAAGGATTAAAAATATGGTGTGAGAGCTGGAAATACATGAGATAAACCTGGCTGGGATGTGAACGAAGTTGAAAAGAAAATTGCACCAATCAGCAACTTTCTATCTGTCAAGATATTAATGAATTAAAGCACCAAGTGCCACACAATTTCTAACATTTTATTTAACGTTGAAGAATGATTAAAAAAACAGTTTATAGAAAAACAGAGCAGCACCTGTAAGATGCACTGAGCAGTCAAATGTATTAATTTGTTCAGGTTCTTGTAACAACTTAAGTCTATGTGTTTTCATATAATGGAGAATATCATTTTCAAATTCACAACTTTTATGACGCTGAAAAAATAAAATCTTATCAAGTATTTCTGGTTTAGTTTCTAGAGACAAGACTGACTTACAAGTAACTTTCATCAGGATATTGGAGCTTGTTTTAAGTCAGTATTTCCTTAATATTGATGAAAATCAACTAATTCCACTGGCAAGTTTTCCATTTATAATGATTGGAAAATGTATTTTTATAAGTAAAAAAAAATTGCCAGTGGAGCTTGTTCTTTTTCATCAATATTTAAGAATTACTGACCTAAAACAATGTCCTAACTTTTGCTGAGAAGTCACTTGTAAGTCACTACACTTGAAATAAGACAAAACTAAGATAACTGCACTAGAAACTATACCCATAATATTTGGTAAGACTTTGTTTTTGCAGCATACTTCAATTAACAAAACAATAAAAAGGGTCAACATGACATACTAGTACACAAAGTATCAGAAAAAAAAGATCAGACTGTGCCTCCCTGACCGCTCTGCAGCTGGTATTGACTGAAACGTTTAACTCCTCAGGCTCTGATTACCTGATTAAAATGTTTATTCGCTGCAATAATTTTTACTCCATGAGCCAGAGGCCGGTCAGTCGTGACAACACTTAGTTCATACGAGTCATAACCTTTTCCTCAATAATTCAATTCTGATGCTTGGAGACGTCAACGTCAAGTTCTGTTTTCCCCACTAAAGTAGAATTTATCGGGGATCATTTGGAGCAAAGCCTCTAATCTGAATCAGTCAGGGAAGAGTGAGTCCTTTGTTGGCTTCCAGTTCACGAGACTGCGTGTGATGGAGCCTGTTAGGAGTTTGGCGAACTGCGACGTGATCCACTAAACCCCACCACCCTCCAATCCTCCCCGCCTCACGTTACAAGAGTAAGATGTTTAACAAGGTGAAAAGCCTGCAGTGACGCATTTGGTGCTGAGCTTATTTTATTGTAACCCCCGATTCTCGTTTGAAGTTTATGAAAGCACTTTCACCCACTGGCCAAGGTCATGTTTCTACTTCTTTTGATAATTTCATTTATCAGCCTCTTGTGCTGTGTCTGACTTGTAGGTTCAGAACTTTAACAGTCTGGAGTTGGGGTGACTTTATGTCATATTTGGATTTTGTTTTAGTCTTTCTTTCAGGCTTACATATTTAAAAAAAAAAAAAAAAAGTATCGAAAGTTTCAACTGAACACACTGGTAACTCAAAAAGACACAAAACAGTATCTTTCCAAGCCAAACAGTTTTGGGGAAAACCCCCCCAAAAACACAGCCCGTTAGTAGAGGACTGAACAGTTTCTTTCCATGCGATAAGTCTAGAAAACATTCGTCTTGGACGGTTATTTTATTTTCCCCACCTTCTATCTCCACAGTGCGTCACGAGCGAGCCTAATGAGACGGTTTGCGGAGACCGTCAGCGATTACTTGAGGAAGGTCAAGGTTTGTGAGGAGCGTGGAGGAAGGACAGTAAGAGATTTCTGCAGCCGCCTTGTGTTTTTTTTTTTTTTTGCCTGCTGCGGGACGCCGCGCGCACGGCCCATCTGTGCAGATAGGGAGTTTAGAGCGCCTGTGTGCAGGCGATTGCTGACGTCAATTGGGCTTGAAGAACCAGTACAGCAGGAACCAATAATCTATTCCAGCCTCCCTTCCTCGCTTCTCTTTCCCGTATTTCACATAAACACGATTTGACTTCGAAACCGATTCTTATTCTGCAGTCTCATCCGCATGCTTGCCGTTTTTGATAGTGCATGGGATTTTTGGTATTGCTTTCATTGAATAATAATCTTTTGCATTAATAACTCGGGAGATTAATTTGCATGTACGATGCATGCAGATTGTGAATACAGTGTACTTGTAGTAATTAAGAATGGTGAGAGTTTTTTTTTTGTTTTTTTTTTGCAAACATTGAAATAGGCCTGAAGTGAACATTCTTGCAATTTTAGCTTTTTCCCTTCTAATTTAGTCAGTGATTTTTTTCCTAGTATTTAACTTGTTTTGTCTTGTTAAATGTACACCTGTGTTTTTAACATCTGTTTTTAAACTACATTTTTCACACAAAATGCACAACACAAATAAATCTGTGTAGTGCACCATTCATCTAGTGTAACATAAGAACTTCTTTTCCAGATTGCAGATTTTGATGCCATTTTTACTCTTTAAACTCTTCTTGTTAAAAGTTTACAGTAATAATGAGCAGGAAGATAAAAATAATGTTGTGTCTTTAATGATTTATTATTTCCATTCGGATGTTGAATCGAGAAAGACTGCCATAGACTGAGAAGGTGCAACCAGGAACAGAAACACTTACTCCAATCCTGTGGACTCAGTACCAACTGTGAAGCATGGTGGTGGTGTCATGAAAGACTGCAACTCCCAATTCTTCAAATTAGCAGGTATGGGTGAAACTTGAACGTTGAGGTTTGCCATGGAAACATTTTCAACCTCAGATAAACTTACTAACTTTACTTGACTATAATTCAAGAAAGCTACACATCATCTCAAGAGCAGAAAAAAATATTTAGCCAGAATTTTACCTACCAGGGGGGGTGCTTTCCCCCCCCCCTGCCAATGTACCCAGATATTACTGTGGTTGTATGAAATTAACCTCGGTGGATAAGTGAAATTGCACCAATTCAAACTCGTGCACCAATTTCTCTGTTTCAAAATCCTTTGAGACTGTTTGTTCCAGTTTGTTTGAACTGGATGATGAGCCAGAAATTAACAGTGTGAAGTTAATCAGGAGTAGCTGAACCCAACTTGGAAGCTGTTAGAACTAGTAGGACAAGATTCATGCATGTGTAGACAACACCTCATTTTATGACAGAGATATTTCCCAGGCAAATCACAAGCTGGGAACTTGGCTCTCTCCCTGAGGTGTAAAAAGAAGGCCAACAAAACGCTCAGAGTTTCTAATAAAAAAGGTTTTAAATACATAAATGTGGAACGTCAAGCTCTTTAAACAGAGTTTATAACATTGAAAGCATATTTTTGAGCACAATGAGGTTCCTTTACTTTGTTCTTGGGCCTGTTAAATTTTTTTAAGCAAGAAGTGACAGATTAAAGAGTTTGCTGCAGGTATAATCAAGTATGCAAATTCACTGAGAGCATTTTGTTTGTGACAGAAAGTGCACTTACCTGAGAGACAGACTTTGGTGACCGAAGGCTGATTTGCAGCAGGAGACCTCCTGTAACAAGAAAATAGATAAGAATCCTATGAAATATTTAGTAAGAGGCTTTTTTTTTATTTAAAACTCACAGGTAATCAAGAATGGCTCAATACAAATGGCCGATGCAAAAGCACGTTGTACTTCAGTTACACCAAAAACTCCCCATGCAACAAAACATGAAGAAAACTAACCCAGATATAGGTTTACAGGCGAAATATTATGCTTCCTTGAATAGGTTAGAATATATCTATGACCTATTCAAAACATGTTCATTATATATTTTGCACAAAACCATTCTCAGAGAATGAACATTTGGTCTGTTCAGTTCAGCCTATTTTTAACTTTTTTCACAATGAGTTGTTGTCACTTTCAATCCAAATAAGCTGCTGCTGGCCACGACCCCCAACTCAACGTTTGCACTCAAACAAATGCACATCCATCCGTCCGTCCATCCATCCATTTTCTAACAGTCTTGTCCCTTGGTGGGGTCGGGAGGGCACTAGTTTTCTTATTCTAGTGCTAAATGACACTAAAAGTACTTTACCCCTATTCTAACATACAGTATGCTGTCATTACCGCCTATATTACTTCTATAGGTTGTTTTTTGATGGGGGGACGGGGGATGGGGGGTAAAAAAAGAAAAAGAAAGATTTAGAAAAGTGTTTCTTATGCCTAAATCTGTGGTTCTGTAATCATGTTATGTATTGGTATATATGCACACAACTTTACATTTGTGTCTGCCTGATAATGTAATTTTTAAATATTAAATCAGAAGACCTACTGGTAATCAGTTACTTGGTACTTAAATGGTTTTTATTATAATATACTTTGTTTGTCTTGAGTAATTTCTTGGATGTTTACATTTTACTTTTACTTGAGTAAAACTTTTGTATACTCTACCCACCTTTGATTATTTGTGTATATTGATGCCAACACTAGACTGTCAGAATAAAACACACCAATAAGCACTAGTTGGATGTCAGTGTGTCTCAATTTAAGTCCAAAATTCTGCCAAGATAAACAATCAGAAACTTAAAGTGTTCATATCTTCCACCTCTTTGCACAAATAAGTTCTGTGCGTCCACCACTGACACTCTCCATGACTGCAGAGTCATTGGAGTGTATCTACATGACATAGTTGCCATTTCTGCAAAGGTGAAACAACCAACAGCAGTTGCTGAGCCTGCGTTGCTCCAGGGGTGCTAAACGTTGGGGCTTGAGGCTTAGCAAGATGTCACAAGTTGCTGCAATGAGTGTGAACCTGTTGCTGTCAGCATGACTGTGTCTAGTTTAAAACCCTGGAATATGAGGATGAGTGTTTTAAGAGTAAGACTGTCTATGTTTGAGGCTCTTGTTTCGGCTCTCTGGTTGCCTGATACGGAGTCAGACTGCTGGTCCGGGTGGCTGACACTCAGTTGACAACAGCCTGTAAGCATCACCATTCACTATTTTCTGGCGAATCTCAACTGGGTTGATCATTTCTAGATAAAAATATCTGGCCTGCTCAAACCTGACCTGGATTGTGCTGAAAAGAGGTTCTTTAAAAATTCAATTTGAGGTTTATTCTATTTGTGAAAACACACAAAAGGGTCATGGACAATATTTTCTACAATCAAGACCACTTTGAATAATTTGCATCTATAGTTATCAATCACCCAGGCGGTTGTAGTCATCCACCCTAATTTTCTAAATGTTGTAGCAGGGAAGACGGGCTGCATTATGTTTACACAGAAGAGAGAACATGGTGCTGCTTGTTCGGTCCAGGTTACACTGGAAGACATCCGAAAATAACTTTTTTTTAAAACAAAGATTTGTGATCTTGACCTGCAATCTGCTTAATCCCTCAATATTTTCATATACATTTAGATATTTTCATATTTGTGAAGGACAGTTGTATGCCTGTTCCTGTTTTTCCTTTTTATGACTCTGCAGTTTTGTCCGATCATATCGAAAAAAACATTTGCCTACTTGATGTTCAACAAACATGTAGAACGTATGTAAAACTTGCTGTGTAACAAATCATGTAAAAGAAAGTGTTGCTCTCTCTCCCTCTTCGTGGCGTCTTGCTTTTCAGTGACCATGTTTGTCGTCAAAGCAGAAAAGGCTAAACAGCTGCTCTCTGGATTCTCCGAACCCGTCACAGGCCTACAGTGACCCTCCTCCCTGAGGTTGCATTGACACACTGTGCACCTCTGGTCAAGATGATGCAACTGCTCAGACAAATGACAGATCAGATCGAACCATCAAGACATAAAATGGGGCAAACACCTCCGTCACAAAAAAAAAATAAATAAAAGCTCCCTGTGGTTTGTAGGGATTTTATTTCTGCACATCACTGAAAATATGAAGGATTTAACAAATCAATTTGTAACCTAACTTCAGCATTAATGTTTATGGTGCTTTGGCGCCTCCTGGGGAAACAAATTGGCATGCCGAGTTCTGTCAGGTAAACATGAAGCATTTTTAAGAGCTACATTTTTCAGCTCATTTTCTACACAAAATAGAAAAATAAGTATTTTAAATAGCTTTCAATTACATCCAAACAGACCAAGTATTTACCAAGGATTTTTGGTCTAATTTCTAGTGTACCTGAAGTCAAAATAACTTGCAGGTAACTTTTCAGTAAATAATTTGAGCTTGTTTTAAATCAATAATTCCTTAGTATTGATGAAAAAGTATGAGTTATAAGTGAAATAATCTGTCAGTGGAACAAAACATTTCTCCTCATCACATAGGAATAATATCTTGTTCCATTGGCAAATTATAACTAGTACTTTTCCATCACTATTAAGGCATTAGTGACTTGAAACAAGCTCCTGTATTTTGCTGAAAGGATACTTGCAAATTAGTTTTGTCTTATTTCAAGTGCACTAAGATACTAGAAACTAGACCAAAAATAATTTGTAAGATATTTTGTTTTTGCAGTGAGCCATTTTAGAACATAAAACCAACAACAAAATAAATATACTTACTTATTAGACACACATTGTATATTTGTCAAGGTGGTGAAATTGTTCCTAACAGTTCGTAGGCTTGCCAGAACCTAAAAACATGAAAACAAAAATTAATACAAAGAGGTAGACACCACCAAATCTATAAAAACAAGCAAATAAACAAACTTAATTTATTCCGGAAAGGCAAATTACATAGTAAGAATGTAAGGAATGCAAGCAGAGTTTAGAATAGTCAAGAAAGTTTGTCTGGTCTTATTTTAAAAAATGTAAATGTATTAACATTGTCTTTTAATACAATCTTATGGAATACATGCAGACCCCCACACACATAAAATAATTTTAACTTTAAGAAATTTAGACTGAATATTTGATGTGAGTTGCACAGGGTGAAGAAAGAAAAGATTTTGTTTGTCCATATGCCTTGTTATGCTGATTCAGATCCACCAGGGGGCAGAAAAGTTCATCTTAAGAAAGTTAGGATGCCCTCTGCAACAATAAGCCCTTGCATCTAAACAGCTTCAGACAAGTTTGTATTAAATATGTCACTGAGTTGTTATTAATGCTTGTTTTTTTGCCCTAGATTTCCTGACGGATCAGCTGTTACCTGGGCAAATGGAGTTACAATCAGGTCCTCGCTGTGCCTGAGAAGAAATATGACAACTTGAGGTTATATCTTAAACAAGTAACGGTTGTTTAGAGAATCTGCTGCCATATATGACCACAACGCACAGTTCTCCCACAATGGATGAATTTCGCGACAAGGACTTTGGTGACAGCTCGTAGTCGCTGTCAGAGCGGTACAGGAAGGACTCTCTGCGCTGGCCGTGACTTGCTAGGTTGGGGTGCAGGACCAATCCGGAGCCTGGAGAAGCCTGCGGGTCTGATGGACTGCAGCACAGCGACGGGCCATTTTCAACCTCGAAGCTGAAAGAAGAAACAAAAAAACAAACAAAAAAGAAATGATTTTGAACAATGATTTTGAATACAAATCCTTCTAAAAAAGACAAACAAAAAAAAAACAACAACTTGAACTGGCTTTGTTCACAGCTTGCTTTTGACCAGCCTTTGACTAACGTTAGCTGGTCAAAGGTTGGCTTACACCAGCTAACCTTTGATCAGTTAGCCTAGCCAAAGCCTAGCTGGTCCAGGTTTCCTGGAAGAAAACCTGTTAAATACTGCCTGCTACAGTTTTGATATTGGGTGTAGGTTCACCTTCCAACCATCAACATACAGCCAGAGTTACAGGAGAATTTTTGAACAAAGCAAATTTATGTTAGCCAGGTCCAGATCTCAATCCTTTTGTGAATCTGTGGCAAGGATTGAAAATTTCTGTTCACCAACACTCTATTCAATCTGAAAGTCTCTGAGCTGTTCCGGAACCTCTTTCCCTTCCCCCCCACAAAAAAACAGGCAAGAATATTCACTTCTTCATGTCTGGAGCCTAAAAAGTCGCAATCAAAATGCTTGTAGGTATAAACTGCAGTAAAATAACTGCAGTTGCCTTTTCATAACAGCTGAATGACCCAGTGAGCCACTGCAGAAGCACAGACAGATAATCTATTCATCACCAGAGAGTTGAGGCAGGAGGAGAGGACCAGATATTATGTAACCAGATGGTGAGGGCAGAAGTTTAAACTGAAAGGTCAGAGCCTCAGCACTAAGAGGAGCCAACAGATGCAACAAACCATGAAAAAAATGTAACAGAAGAAACTCTGGAAGTTTAGTATGTATTTTCTGTCAAAACAATTTGACAAAAACCGTCCATGTGCATCAATACGTCAACATTTACCTTGAATTTACAGGCACCGCTGTAATAAGCGCTACATCTGGGGTTAGCTCCGCCATTGGGATGAAAAGTTCCACACCTCTGCCAGCGAAGCACGGATTAATGAGAAATGTGCAAAATCTGATTAAACGCATGCAAGACCAACAGCGTATCCATGTTGTCCTGTGCATCATTAAATCCCCTCGCTTTCAGCAACATTGCCACCATGCTTATCCCACACAAATCTAATCTCTTAATCTGAGACAAGCAGGAAAACGCCATATTTTCAAATTTTGGTAAATCTGGGATTAACTGCATATATTACGAAAGTCTGAGATTTCAAGAGATGAAACATTTACTGTCTTCACTTAGCAACACATAATAGCATAGATCACATTTTTGTAATCTTGCCATGTACTACCTAAACATTTACAGGAAACAGTAAATTTAATATCATCCATACCGATTGGTCAGTTGAAAAAACACAACAAAAAAAAAAAACAGAACAAAAACAATAGGCTTCGTACAGGGAAGGTAGTTTAAAGGTCACCTGGGAGCAACAAGTTGTGCTCTGCTGACAACCTCCTCACTGAAGTCAAAGTACCGAGCTCTGCACCTGGGGGATCTCCGCCACATTTTCCTTCAGCTCCACTTCTTCCCTTTTCATCCAGCGACAGAACTCAGCGATTCTGTGTCTGCTGACGGACTCAGACTCCTTTTTCCCTTTTCTGTCCAGTAACGAGCGACGCACCAGGATAACATCGGCTTGGCAGACGCTCGCAGGCTGAGCTGAGCTGGAACACTGGGAGTGGAAAGGGAGTCGCTCTGTTTATCTGACCGACTGTCCCTTACTACTCTGTATTAAAACCCAGCTGCAGATTAGTCAGCCTGTTCACCGTCTCTACTGACTTTCATTTGAGGTTTTAAAACCATGGAGGTTTGGAGGGGAATAATGGTTTAAAGTAGGCTCAATATATAGAATATGATTTATTTTAGAAATAATCACTAGTGTGCATCTCACCCAATGGCCCGTGGAGAAAGTTACCCTGCAAAGATAAGCAGGTATGGACTCAATTTAGCTTAATTAGAGTAAGAAACAATGGTTTCATATGAGAAATTGCTATCTGCTATGTTTGCTACATTATAATCCAGCCTAGTCACCAAAAGTTTAATTTTCACTTTCCTATAGTCCTACCAAACAACTCAGGATTCTGGTCGTGACATAAGCCACAGCACAGTTTTAATTTGACAAGTTGCCATTGTTTATACACTGCATGTCCAGAGCCCTCATCCCAAAAAGTGTCTTAGAAAGCCTGAAAGCTGGTTCATCTCACTGATGTGAAAAACTAAGCAGAACCAGACCGATATATTGTAAACATCCTGACAAGAAAACAGAAAAGACAAGCCAGCCACCAGAAATACATGCAGTGAAGATCAATACCAGGTATCTGCTAAACAGCACATTAAAGCTCCAGTATGTTACTTTTGTACAAAATATGTTTGTTTTTTTGTTTTGTTTTTTTACACATATTTGTTAAAACTGTCACTATGTTGTACAAGACAGGTAATCTGTGAAAAGATCAATTTCCTCCACCTACCCCCAAGCTACCACTGCCGTCTGAAGAAATGCACAGCTCAGGACCAAAAACAACCTATCAGAGCCAGGAAAGTGAAAGTGAAAGGAAGAATGAGACAAGTTACAGAGAATGGAAGCAGAGGTGTCAACCTCCAACTCTTCTGGGCAACTTTTAAATGTGTCCCCAGGTCATCACATTTGAATCCAACTCCTAGACTAATGGCCTCTCTACCTGACTCAGGTTATGTTGAAGAAGTTCGTGTTTACTGTTCCAAGCATCCTTCCATGTTTGCTTAACATGGATTTGTGCCTCATCTCTGAGCTAAAAGGAGAAGCAGCATTCAGTTACTATGCACCGCTAATCTAGAAAAAACTTCCAGAAAAGTGCAAAGATGCCAAAACACAGAGTTCCCTTAAATCAGGACTAAAACCCCACCTGCATAGAGTTGCATTTCATTCGTAATTTCTGGGACAAGAATGATATATTTGATGTGTGTTTGATGATTTTGACTAAATGTAATGTAACTGCTCGTTTCTCAATTAGTTACTGTGTTACGTTATTTTTTTTATTTTTTTATTTTTTGCTGTGCAACACTTTGAACAGCCTTGTTGCTGAAATGTGCTACACAAATAAATCTGACTTGATCAAAACCGCCATTGACACTGGAAGCCAAGGGTTGCTGCTTCGCTATCAGGAGATGCAACATAAACTGAACGATTTGTTCTTCAATGTCCCTACAGACCACACACACACACACACACACACACACACACACACACACACACACACACACACACACCCACACACCTTAGGTTATTCCCTACAAAAACAAGAAAATGAACTAAAACACAATGGAAAACGAAGTGAAACTAGCACACGCTCCTACTGTACACACACACACAAAATGCAAAACTTTGAAGGTCATACAGACACAGGCTCATATTTTATTAATGCACTCTGTCTACAGTGATGGAAGATGCAACCCTAATTTAATAAAGTCAGCCAAGCAATCAGCAAACCATCTCCAGATGTCTTTTGTAGAGCAAAGCTGCCCTGGTACATGAAGGCAAAACAATTTCCTCCATGTGGAGAAAATTGTTTTGCCTGTGTGTGTGAGCATAAAAAAAATAAAAAAAATTGTACACTTGTTTTTTTAAACATGTGTTAATTTATTTGCTGATGTTTATTTAGATTTGTGTTGTGGTGAAAGAAAATCACTTTCACCTCCCAAGAGCGTTCGTGTGGGCACAGAGTTAACTCAGATAAGCCAAACAGAAGCTCTGTGGAACATTTTCCACATCTGACTGGACAGAAACAATGTTTGTGGAGCCCCGAGGCTCAGCTGTAGCTGCCATAAAGCAAAGATAACAAAGATAAGCCATTCGATAGAACTATATTTACATTTTTGAGCAATTCAATTTTGCTGGAAAAGTTTAGGGAGGATGAAAAAGCACCTGGGTCTTCATCTGCACGCCAAAAATTAAAATAAGTGCAACATCTTTTAAACCATGTTCAAACAGCAGAGTTCATCACAAGAATGTTTCAATATATTAAGAGAGCAGCTGTAAAAGAAGGTTTCCGTTGTTAAAATGGTAGTGGTTTAACTCCCATAATAGATCTAAAGCTCATACATAGATCTGAGTTATGATATGCAGGCAGCTGTTTCTGGGTGATGTGACTGAAACGTCTATTAGTGATCTGCGTCACCCAGAGCCACTAGTGCAGCTACTTCAGGTCCCACAGTGTGTGCTCTAACCAGGCACAGAGGAGGGCTGAGGTTTCTGTCAGGGATCATTCTAGGTCAGAATGTACTAGAACAAATCATCATCATCATCATCATCATCATCATCATCATGCGTCAACTTTTGCAAACGTATTTCAAAGTGACATCAAAGAAGTTTGTTCATCACCTGCTTCTGAAGCGAGAGCTCTGAGGAACTGTGGGTTTCTGATCTAGATTAACAACAGTCAAACGTCAAATGTCTACTTACTATGCAGAAAAGATAACACAATGCATAAAGGGCTTTTACTAGGGGTGCAGCGATTGCAGTGTTTTGGCCGACTGCTGATGACCAGCAAAAGCTTGACCTGCCAATTTGGATTTTGGCCATTGCCAATTTTCTTGGCTGAAATGTTGCTAATTAGTTTGCCTCTTGAGTTGAGGCACAACTAACTTACAAGTGACTCTTCAGAAAGACATAGCAGGTTGCTTTAAGTCAATAATTCCTAAGTATTGATGAAAAAGTAATAGTTCCACTGTCAGATTATTTCACTAATAAGTCATTTTTCCCTCGTTGTAAATGAAATTATCTGCCAGTAGAATTAGAAAGTTTTCATCAATTCTAAGGAATTATTTACTTAAAACAAGCTCCTACAACTTGCTGAAGAGTTACTTCTGAGTTAGACGTTTTAGTCAGGTGTACTGAGATGTTTGTATTAGAAACTGGACAAAAAATACTTGGTATTAGAGGTTTTAAGGCACCCTTGATATCAATAATATTAATATTCTGCTGCTGAAACCTAGACTTGCACAGGGCAGTCGCTCAGATCCACAACTTTTGGGGTGTGGCCCAAAAGATTTTTTTTTTCTTTTTTAAAGGATGAGCGCTTTGCAAAAATTGTACTTTATATAAAACTCAAAGACCTAAATCGTCCAAGTTGTATTATTTGGTTTTTTTTTATTGAATAAAATAAGCAATATTCAAGAATTTGAAAATGATTACCGGTAAGTTATTATACAACATGGCTAGAGGATATATCAAACCTACAATGCTGATGTACAGGACTAAATGTTAATGAACTGTAATTTGCATTAGTAACATAATTTCTCCTCTGTTGATAGGGCACCGACAACCATGCTAAACCCCCTTAAATTACTTTTCTATGAGCTTCAATAAATCATTTAGGGATCACATCTAGATCTCTAAATGCTTTGAGTTGCTGCAATACGATTGGTTGTTGTTATTTGGGTTAATAAATTAAATGGGTGCATCTCATTAACTCATCGATGACTGAGTATTTGGCGCTTCAGGGAGACGAACAGATCACTCATGACTCATGTTGCTGTCAGGTGTGAATCGGTCTTAGATTCCTTTTTTTTTAACAAGTTTTTAACAGTTTGACATGAGTTGTGCAGATTATCTTTCCTGGTTTATGTACTAATTAAGAAAGGGTTACACAAGGTTTTACAAACTTCACCTTATAACTGAAGCAACAAACATGAGTAGGTACTAAATACCACTGTTTGCTTTCGGTTTGTGGACCAAGCCTTCAGAAAATTATGATTTTTTTTTTAATTTAGCAACATTCAAAGTCTGTTTCATCGCTATATAGAGCTGTAAATATTTCATTCAAAATGTGACAAGGCTGTTCTAAACTGCTGTCATATATGACATGCATTAAATGAATTTAATGCAGAGTTCAAGCTTGAGAGAAATACGATGAAGTCACAGCCAACATGAACAGCTTTTTTATGAATCATTAACACCTCACAGCCCACAGATGTCCCTGGGTAATAAATCAAATGCACCCTTTCACTGGGAATATTCACATCTCTGTCAGAGCTGCTATCTCTGACCTACTTGCCGAGTGACTTCATCCTTGATAGCCTGAAATAAAGATTGTTCAAGTCCAAGTCAAAAGACAGTTTTATTAAGTATAGTTTTTCTCTGAAATCCAACTCAGTTAAAAAAATAAAAATAAAAAATCTCTCAGAAGTTGGAATTTTACTGATCAAATTAGTCTTCAGGAAATTTGGAGTTTGTAAATAAGTTTGTAAGTAAGTGATTCAGTTAGAATGGACAATTTGAGAGACAATTTCATACTAGATCATTACCTCGGCAATCAAAATCCAATTTAAATCAAAAAATCATTTAACATACTAACAGTAAGAAAATGTCAAAAAGTCTGATGTCTTTAGGAAAAGTTGTAATAGTTCAGAAACCTATTTGAAAGAAAGACACCAAGTTGCACCCACAGTGCAGATCAGTTGCAGATAAATTAACCATTTGATGTGGGACATTGAATGTGAGCAGCAGAAAGATGAAAGCAGCAAATGAAAGGGTCACTGGGTGACTTTGAAGAGAAATCTTCACTGTGAAGTTTAAAGTAGCAATTCGAAGAACAAAGGATCCATCTGCTTAAGTGCATTTCAGCAATAATTAAAAAAAACTATTTCACATCAATTTTCTGCATTGAATAACATCTTCCACTAGTGTGCATTAAAGACAGACATTTATCATTTCTTTGCACTGCTGGGTGCTATTTATTTTTTTTAATAAAAATGTTGCAAAACCCTGTGATCTTTCACTATAAATCAAGATTATGTTTATTGCTGATTTTTTTTAAAGTCCTAAGACAAGAATAAGGAAACAGAATCATGAATTTTAAATTTACAAACAATTTGTGACAAATATCTGAGCAGAAGAGGAGGAAAGTTAAAGTTTTTGTCCTAATGGCCTCCCTACAGAAGCTACCTCTAGGGGGCGTGTTAGACTGATCTGAACCAGTCGTACCAAATCCTTTTCGCAGTAGCAGAAGAGGAGAACCGCAGAGTTGTGTGACCAACTTCTGCATTTAACAAAATGAGATGCGCCACTTCTCTATGGTTTTGAAAAAGGGAGAAAGCACTGTGAAAACGATGGCCTCTTTTTATACAAGATGCCAACAGGATTATTTTATAGAAATAATAGGGATAATAAAATAGGAGGAATCTCAAGCTGTGTTTCCATTCACAAAACTGTGTCAAAATACATGTTGAAAAAACACAATTTTGTAATTGCATTGACTCCATTAAATAAGAAACAATTAAAATCACACGTGATATGTTTGTTCACACAATTAGTCATTAAGGTGTCTCACCTGTCAGGGTCGGCCTGCGTGATGTCGATGCGCGGTAGGGAGGCGATGGGCAAACTTGTGGGTCTTGTTCGGGTCATGGGATCTTCTTCTGGCGTCAGCGGCCTGCCCCGGTCCCTCTCCTTTTCTGCCTGTCGCCAGGACAACGGAGGCAGCTGTAGGTTACCAGAAAAGCGGCGGTGCACTTTGCACACCTCCACGCTAAGAGTGCTGCCGGTAGAGTATTGTCCCGCAGGAGGATCTGTATTCTCCTAAAGAAGCAAAAGATTTTTTTTTTATAGCTTTTACTTTTTGTTCAACATTGAGAAAAACTCAGTAGATATTAGGATTAACATTATTAAAAGGAAGTTAAAATGGAGTATGTCCTAGAAAAATATAAGTATCGCTTTTGTACATGTAGGACAAGTGAATTACAACACTGATAGGATCTGATATAACAATAATAATAGTGAATGTTAAGATAATAAATAACAGGTAGTCCATGATGTTGCGATGTGCTTTTGCGATTGTTGCAGCCTAAAATTACTAATTTTGTGGTACTCTTTTCAAAAAGTTGTGGTAAAAGTTCTGAATATTTTTTAAGCTTTATTTTTGCCATAACATGACCTTACAAAAATATTTCAATTGTTGCCCATAACCTTCTTGAAACAGAGACAAATATTTAAAGTGCAAATAACATTTCCAAGTACTTGCAAGTATTCAAAAATACTTTGTAGAGCCCACAGAGAAATTAAACATCATAGATCATAATAATTGAAAATTCTTAAAAGAGTTATTGTAGATATTGTAGAGTCAGATATGGCTTTCAAGAGGCGACGTAAAACAAGAAGTTAAATTAGAATGGGTTCTAAGGAAATTGGTCAAGATTCAGACGAGTTTTGCGGTGATTGGTCAGAAATAAAGAAAATACAGAAAATGTTCAAGTCAAATTTGCAGAAAAGTTACAATAACTGGTGAACATTGCAAGTCCGTGAACAATTTGTGAACAATGAGTGAATTTGCATTAATAGTTGCGATTACTACATCGCAACTTCTTAGACAGACTGAAATAAGAAAACTAAACACAAAAGGTAAGCATCACAGAAAGTTTTGGGGAAGAATGGACAAATGTTTAACACAACAAATAAAATCTTTTCAGAGACTCAAAGAAGAGAATTTAGTCAGTAACCAGACAATCTGCCTGCCCTGTTCACAGCAGCAGCAAAACTTATCTTTTATCACTTTTCAGCTCGGAGAAGAAAAACGACTCATTTGATCCACTTGACCCCTGAACTGGCAATTGACATGTTTATGAAGCTGCCCCGGATATAAATCGTGCCCTTAATGTGAGCATTTAAGCAAGAAGCCCAAAGGGCCGGGCTGGAACAGCGGGGCTGTAAACAAGCCAAAGCACTGGGGGAAACAGGAGTGGGCTGGCACAGCTCATTTCCTTCCACTTTATGTTCACCACATGCAAGAGGAAATGAAACACGCCAAAAGTTTTCAAATGAGGGAGGGAGGTGTGGAAGCTTCATGACGACAAAGCGGGAAGGGGGCGGGGGAGGAATTCCTCGTGGACGAGGCAGGCAACAAATTGTCTGTTGTCAGTGTGTGTGGGGTGAAAGCAAGTGGACAAAGAGGATGAGTGGGCAAGAGACTGAATCTGACAGAAAGTGAGAATAAAAAGATGAGAGCTACAGTCTGGCCAGGTCTCAGAACTTACAAATATTTCATTTCATGGATGTTGCAAGTCTTTACTTCTTCTTATTACCTTTGGTCATTTAGGATTGGGGATTTTTCAAATCAGTTCCAGTCAGATGTTATATTAAAGTTTATAAATCAATGCCAGGTGAATGCCCGAAAACTGAGTAGCTTAAAGTGAGGTAAATTAACAGAATAAATCTCATCATTACCATGGTGAACATTACTGTTTTATATTTTAGTCACTGTCCAATGGCTGATGCTGAAGTATCTGTTCTACATGACAGAGACAGATATTTAGAAAAGATAAAAAGGTGTTTCTGCAGGTCTGCTTTAATGTCCTGCTCCACTTCAAGGAAAATGTGTTCATATCCCAACCACAATATTCCGTATCTGATTTTTTTTCAGTGATGAAGGAAGAAACATTGACGTCGAACGGGGTTACCAAGTCCAAGCCTAAGGGTGTTGGTGAAGGAGTGAACCTAAAAGTAGCAGGATAGTAGACTTTGTTTATTCTTATTTCCTAACTTGCACTCTGAGTGTTTTTGTGTTTAGCACTCATGCTTTGTCCCGTATTCCTGCACCTCCAGTCAAACTATGTGGCAAGAATGCGCAGAGTTTTCTCCCCATCTGTAGCCTTGAATCTTGTGCTAAGCTTAGTTTTTTAAAAATGTTTTGGGAGGACATTGGTGTTCAGTGAGTTTTTCCTTGCCATTGCTGACTGTTTTTTTTCTGTCTGTGTGGATAGGAGAGCTGAGCTGAGTCGAGCCCCGCCACCAGGTAATGACAGTAACTAGTGTGCGCCTTATGCTGGTAGCCGATAAAAACAAATTCTGAGAAATTCCACATTTTGTTGTAGATTCTATTTTGTTTTGTTCTGTTCCACAATTCAATCCACATTTTCCTCATCGATCATAGGGCCCTACTTGTTGTCCTGTTTGGCAGAGGCGTCTAATACAAACTTCTAATTTGGCTGGTTGACAGTATTTGCTTTAAAAAATGATGTCTACTGACTTTTAGACAAAACGGGGACAGAGAAAGACAAAGTATGAAAGACTTGTATGTTGTGTACTAATATATTGTACAGTTAAGCTTTCCCACTTACGGTGGTAAAGTTAGCACTTGCTACCTAGCTTCCCATTAGCGCTAAACCAAAAGGCCTCTTTCAGTGTTTGTACGAGTTTAAATTCCATTTGATCAATTTGTTGAAAATCTAAATTGCCTGGAGCCAGGTTATGTGGTTTAATTCAACAATGAGGGAAGGTTGTGTAGATCAGTTAGTGAAACCTCTAATTTGTCTCTGAAAACACAAAAAGTACCATTTTCAATGCTCTTCTGGTGATTTATTAAAATTGGAGAAACATAAAAAAAACATTCAGTTGTGGAGTGGTATATTCTACACCAGTCACTGAATATCAAAAACATGGTTTGTAATTTGTGAAAGCGTTGTAAACACACACACACACACACACACACACACACACACACGCACACACACACACACACACACACACACACCTACACACACACACACAAAAAAAAACACACAGGTATTCTTAGTTTTTTCCAAAATACAACTAAAAGCACGTCCCACCGCATTCTTGTAACCTTAACATCGTCCTTGGTGTTCACATAGGTGACTCAGTCAGTACATTTTTTAAGCTAGAATGGTTTTAACATGTCGTTTTTTACGTTTTGTTAGCCTGAATTACCGTGGTACCCAAAGGTTCCTTTGTTTTAAGAAAAATTTCAATTGAAGATTGAAAGCTCCTTCTAAACAAAAGTCACTACCACTGAATGCAGGGATGCACAAAGCCAAAAATCAATAAGACTGTTAAATGCAAAACAGAGACCTGACAATAAGAGCAAAGGTCTCTGATAAAATAAACATAAACTCTGATAGTTTTTCAGGGCTGATTGGCAATAAGGACAGCTCTGTTGACTCTCTTGCTCTTTCCAGGGAAAGCAATTTGTCTGATTTATTGCCTCCGTCTATCCCAGATATATTGTGCCTGCAGCAGAGCATCACTGAAGATGCAGCCTGGCAGGACACGACTACTCTAACCACTGATCCCAGGCTCTTGTCAAATGAATATTAAAGGTAGCCATCCCTTGTCAATAATCCAGGGCTTTTGATGTTTCACTACTAAATAATTTTAGCTATTTAATACCAATATCAGATTTCAAGACATGAGATTCTAATGCTCTATGATCTCTACTCGGTCCAATTTGCATTGTAATATCAGCTGCTTTACTCCCAGTGAACAGTTCTGTATAACATATGAGATTGTGCAGCAGTTATGTTGCAGTAAAAAGCTTAAGTCTGCAGTATGTGTAATAAAAGGCTGTGGGAAAACAATGAACCTTGCAGGAAGTTGGAACAGCTATATTCTGTGATAATAGAAAGAGTTTCTTGGTACAGAAAAAAAAAAGTCTGCTGTTCTCTGGGGCACTTCCAGGAAAGCTTTTTGAAAGCAGCTTTCATAAATGAGGTAGGTGTGCGACAGCATCTAACAGGCCCGCTCTGCGCGGTGACTGAACTCTCCGGTGATTATTGAACTCACGGTTTAAAGATTCAAGAAGTACAATCTCAATGAAAGGTGGAAGATGAAAACTCAAGAATTTTGTTTGTGTAAATAACTCAAGTAATAAAGCCTGCTGATTTACATTTGAATGAAATTATACACCAAGGTTTAATGATGCACTCAACTCAAGGAGGTGCAACAACGCCATTAACTGACGAAGTGCACAGCCATGTTAGTGCTTGTTCATCAAGTTAACTGTAAATGAATAAATAAATAGCTCTTCTTGAGGAAAACGCTGCAGTGATGAGAAATATTTTCATCATCATCTGAGACCTGGTTTCCACCCCTAATTATACATGAATTAAAGACTCCTGTGGTTATTCTATGCATCAGAACTACAGTTGCTAATTCACTATTTACTTGCTTATAGATGGGTGGATCACGTAATGAATTCATAACAAGTTCATAACAAATTGTTTCTGGTGTGAAGGTTTGCCACAGATTTTTAAAAGTGCACGCATCATAACCCGATCTGTCACTATCGTTCTTTGGCTTTAAAAGTTTATTAAATGCCTATTTTTAAAGAGGCAGTATTATCCAAATTAAACTTTTTTTGAGCTTTACGAAATGATATAATGTTATTCCCTCATCAAAAGCATACCTAGAATGTTGTCTTGATTTTTCATAGATATCTGAGAAATCCTTTAGTCTCCATGGCAACCATTCAGCTATGCAAAACGCCTGGGTGGACCTAGCTCTGCCTTTGAGGCTCAGCTCCTCCTCTGAACTGCAGTTTCCACACTGCCACACAGAGCAGCCTCCCCCCGCGACTTCCTCACTCAGCTCCTTCAGACTAGCCAGCAACAATTAGCAAACATCTGTTGGAACTGCACAACTGCTGAGCTCATTATAGGAGCTACTTCTCAGTGAAACTCTGATGAAAATGTTGTGAAAGGGTTGATGGAAGAAAAAACATTGTGACGACTTTCTGAAGACAGAGTTTCAGGAAGAGCAGGAGTTTCTAAAGAGATAGAGGCCAATTTGAAAGCAAATTTTCCTTTAAGTCATACATATAGCATTTTTGTAACAACTGAAGTTAATATAGTTACTTAATTGTGCTATAAAATGGCACTATGTGCCTGGAATACACATAATACTGCCCATAAGGCAGTGCAGATGCATGTCCTTTAGTCTAACCTAACCTTGCTATGCAAGGTTAGCAGAGCCCATTGGATCTTTACATTAATGTCACCATCTGTTCCAGGATCCTATTATCAATCACTTGCGGATAATTAGGATAACTGCAGTTCAACCTTATTTTAATATCTTTAATTTCTTCACATTTCTTTTAGGTGTAAAAAACAAAACAAAACAAAAACAAAAACAAAAAAAACAAGAATTTCTTGTGCTCTGTTTGTTAAATATTGATTAATATATGCTGTGGTATGAGTGGCCAGAGGACCAGAGGGAGGCCAGTCGCAGCAGGGACACTTTCATCATCAGGGTCTGGCCTGTCCTCTGAGCTCCATTTGGAGGATGTCAAAGTAAACGATCTGGCTTTTCTGCCCAGCAATAAACACCAGTGGTGTAGAGGAGAAACAGATGGCCCTCTCTGTCACATTTTTTGTCCTTTTTTCCTTTTATCCATACTTCCAATCAGTCTATGCTCTGAATGTTTTCTGCAGAGCATGTCTTTACTCTTATCATGCTCTGGCTCATTTAGAAGTATGAATACTGTGCAGTTGCTTATACACAAATATAACACTCCATCCTAAAATATGAATGTACACACACACACACCCTCTTGTGTCCCTCTCTGCAGTGTGTCCTGCTGAATAACGGTCTGTTGTGAATAGTACAGTCATCTGTTAATGAGTCACAAACCACCTTCTGGACATGTTGTGCCGCACTGCCACTGTGTTTTTCTGCTACACCACATTGTGTCTTCTTGCTCAGGAGCAAAGCGGGTGGGTAGGGGTGTGTAGCATTTTCAGAAAGTGTGTCCATCAGTGGGTGAAAGGTGAAAGGCAGAAATTGAAATGAGAAAAAAATACACAAATCTAACGAATACAAGGACAGAAAAAGAGATGAACGGTTGGAAAATTTGACACTTACCTCGCCAGGTACAACTCCATGAGCACTTCTGCTTTTCTTCATCTTGAGAGACTCTTAATTAGACTCACTTTGGCACCTCTTCTCTGTCCAGCTTTGAAAAGCTTCAGCAGTCCTGCAAACGGGAGACAGAGAAGGGAAGGCACACACAAGGTTACAAAATCTGTGTGTATCTGGATATTTAATGTTATAAGGCAAGGCCAAGTTTATTTATAAAGCACAATTCATATCAATCAATCAAATTTTATTTGTATAGCACATTTTAGTAGCAAGGCATTTCAAAGTGCTTTACATCATAAACAAAAAACACAAAGTCATGCAACATGGAATCAACAATCAAAACATGACATTAAGTCAAGTGCCATCGTTAAATTTGTAATTGACTATGTTTCAAATACATCTCTAAACAGGTGGGTTCTTAGTCGAGATTTAAAGGAAGTCAGTGTTTCAGCTGTTTTATAGTTTTGTTAAAGATTTGTGGTGCATAGAAGCTGAATGCTGCTTCTCCTCATTTGGTTCTGGGGATGAGGAGGGGAACCAGTTGCTCTGTCTGCAGTCGATGTTTCATCAGCTTGTTTGTTTTGGAATAGTTTGCTCCTGATACGCGGAGGGTTCCATCCTACTCAGACATCCTTGAGCCTGTTCTTCTAAAGCGATGATCACGTTGTTGTCCTTGTTGATAAAATGAAAAAGGTCTGCAGTGAGAAGCTTTATCCCATGTTTATTAATATTGCGTCCACCTCTTCCAAAAAAGGTGAAAGTGCTGCCAATAGATCTAGAGGTTATCAATGAAGGTCACTGAGGGAGAAGGGATGAGCAGTCTGTACATAAGCATGATTGACAGCGCCAAGACCCTCCTCCTGGTTCTGACTGGTTGTTTCTACGTAGCACTGGGAGAAGAAGAGGAACTCGATTTTTTCAGATTATCTGTCTTTTACCATGCTGCAATGACATACGACTTTTTTTTAAATGTGTTAAAAATTACATACTGCAGCTTTAAATAATAGTTTGACCACTTTCTCAAACATCTTATTTAGGTTAATGCAGTGTTTTTCAACCACTGTTCTGCGGCACACTAGTGTGCCGTGGAAATTATTCAATTTCACCTATGGTACCGTATTTTCCGGACTATAAGCTGCTACTTTTTTCCTAAACTTTGAACCATTGTAGCCCGGTGCGGCTTTTCTGTGTATTTTTCTTCAACCACCAGGGGGCTCTCTAACAGGAAGTGAATAATTAGAAGTCAAAATTGTAAATCAAAGAAGAACGCGTTAATTTTCATTTAGAACAACCACATGCTAGCAGCAGGCACAACGGAGAAATGTTTTCAAACTCATATGATGCAGCTTTTAAGTTGAGGGCTGTCGAGCTGCCACTACAGGAGGGAAATAGAGCCGCTGCACTTCAGCTCGGTGTGAACGAAACCGTGGTTAGAAGTGGCTAGCGGCGTAATCATGTAATTTTCTTACCACTAGATGGCAGTAGGTACAGAGCATTTTACATTAAAACAAGAGAATTAGTGATGCATGAATGTTACAGGTAGCGGTGAGAGCATCGTATCTAGCAAGACTGTGACGACAGTGATGGAAAAGACAGTGAAGCTCAGCAGTAGTTGGAAAGAACATGGGTCCATTTCCCACAACATGTCTGTGAGAAGTGAGCTTCTCAAGCCTGTTTACTATAAAAACTGAAACCAGAGAGAGACTGAGAGCTGTTGAGGAAGAGCTTTGTCTTTCTTCAATTTCTGCCAGGAAATCAGTTTTCATCCCAACATGCACAGGTTTCACACTAGGTGGGTAAAATATACAGATATTGACATTTTGTACATGCAAATCTTCATATCGTAACAGTGAAATGTTTCCCAAATATTATTGCTTCTTTCAGAATAAGAATTGTTTTCTGTATTCCAGCTTAAATAATGCTTGTGGATTAGTTTGTAAAACACTTTGAAGTTTTCTACAACTACAATTTCACACCACAGTGTTGTGGCTGTTCAGGTGTATTTTTGAAGTGGACATGTTACGTGCAATTTGAAATAAGAAATGTAAAATGTGATAAAAATACATTTTTGTGTTTGATTCCTATTCAAGACACTTTGATAAGAATCACTATATATGTAATATAGGCGACTACAGATTTCTTTGTTTACATTTTTGGTTGGTGGTTTGCCTCGAGATTTTTTCAATTAAAACAGTGTACCTTGGCTCAAAAAAGGTTGAAAAACACTGGGTTAATGGACTGAATACATGAACTAACCAACAAAAACCGATTCGTACTACAGCCCGTAATAATAAACAAACCCACAAACATTCATAGACTGACACACAGATCTGCTGGCAACCTGGGACTAAGTGCCCTAACATGTGGTAGGAAGGATGCTGGAATAGATCCCAAAATCTTCCAATTGTGTGGCACAGCTACTTTTCCCAGCACCCTTCTTGTATCTTACAAAGTGATCAGAATAAGCTGAATCTATATCTCCAGGTCAAACCGTTACAAAACTGTAATAGATGTTTCCTTCACATAATGTAAGGTAGCTGAGACCACACACACACATCAGCAGTGCCCTGCTTTGGGTGCGCTCATTAAAGTAAGGCTCATTTGGGTTATCATCCCTAACTTTTGTCTATTCCACTGTAATTAAAGTAGAGTGTTTACAGAGTATTTAAGATCTACTATCTGGAAGTGTTGGAGTGAGTTTGTAAGAATTAAAAGGCATCACCCCTCGGTGCAGCGGGAATCTTTCAATCTGATATGAATATCTATCTGCAAGATCTGAAATGGCAGGGAAGTCTAAAGTGGAGCTAATGAGAGCAATCTGAAATGAAGCAAGCAAGCAGGGGGTTCAGCTTTCAGAAGAAAGATTTCTAAGTGAGAGCTCTGTAAAAAAAAACTAAGGTAGAGAGAAAAAATGTGGAAAAGATGAGGGAGAAAAAGTTTTTCATAAGCTTTTTTTTAACGGTAATATGCAATATTTAGAATCAAAGAGACATAAAATTAAGAATGAAAAGCTCTACAACAGCAGGAAGCCTTCAAATGACAAACCCATACAGTTTGAAACGGATATTCATGCACCCCAAAGAATGAAATGCAGTCGGTGCTGATTCAGACAAAGCCAATTTTAAATTGCCATCATTGAGGTTGCCATGACCCTCTAATAGAAAACTAACAAAAATAACTATAACCATGGATGGAAAAAAAAATAGAAGATAGAAATGAACCATTTTCATAAGACATGACATTTTCTCACGATAACAATCACACTACCTCAGTGATAAGAGAGCTGCATCTTAAGCAGCCTGGTCTGTGTTGCCTGAAGTCAATCTTCTGTCACTGGTCAGCCATCTCTGGAGGCAGTGACTGTACCCTCATTAATAACAGAACAACCAGAGTCGGCGGAAAATGACCACAAGGCAGGCATGAGTGACTAATCAATGTGACAGAAAGGTATCAATGTTTTCCATGTCTGTATTGACCCCAGCTGAGTTTCACCAACATCAGCCCTGCCTGGCTGGCCCTGCCTTGTGGTTCATGTAGGGGTAGGACTTTTGCTGCGACTGCAAATGAAGCTGTTTAATTGCAAAAGATCATTTATCTGCTGGAAGCTAAAGAATTTTGCTCTCGGCCTCCAAAACACACAGCTGTGTGTAATGTTACAGCTGCTTCCTCCAGGCTGACGTAGACAGCTAGCCATCTCTAGCTGGCTAGCATAACAGCTAAGATGGCAAAAGAAAAATCATACAGGTATTTGGCTTTATTTAGGATCTGAAACTGCTGATGGTTAATAACATGAACAGCTGAGCCACATCAGGTGGAAGACGTTCGGAGGAATTGTTCAATCTTTAAATTCAACTTGCTTGTTCAATAATTCCATACCACATGACATGTCAAAAGTATGTTTTACATCAAACAAGCAATAGCTGTTTGTTTTCATTTCATTGCAATCCAACTCTCAGGTCAACTTCTGGATTCAATAAACCATAAACCCCTCTCTCTGAAAAATAAGTAGGTGTATCTGCAGGTTACATGTGGTGGATCTGAATTCAGTTTTAAAGTATGAATGATGGGGGGAAAAAGACTCATATATTTCATATAAAATATTTTTAAACTGACAAGGAATGTTATTACTGTTTACATTGAGATGGAGGAGGATTTTTGAAATAAGAAGGAAATTAACATACTGTACAGTAAACAGAGTTTGCTTAGCATGACAGCATAGCATCAAAAACAAATTTCCAGATAAATACATTTCTAATGTTTGAAACAGCATTGCCACAAAATATACCATAATATACAGCATCCTGAATAATCTTACTCAAACCCTAACCAAATTTAGAGGACAGCAATTTGACTAAGTGGGTGTGGGAGCTGAAGACCTAACCACAGGAACTGTTAGTCTGAGAAAGTAATTTCTTAGCTTCTATTATGATGTAAACTACCATAATATTGATCTAAGCCATTCAAACCGTAATGAGGATTGGGCGGAGGGCTTGGATGTGACATTGTATTAAAACTGCAGTCAACATTAGCTGAGAGTGAAAGTCCAAACACAGAAAGAGGAAGTGAATACTTGATCATTTTCCAAACAAACCCTGAAAATTGAAATGAACACCTTTGTTTAAAGTTTATATGATGTCCCCTTCCTAAAAAAATGGCCTAAGTCATTTTTTCCTATAAATGGTTTTGGTAAAAAAAAAAAAAATATCACTTTTGGCAAAAAAGGACAGGTCATTATTTTTGGAAGGTGACAATTTTATATATTAAAATGTCACAAACTATAATTACTGTCAGTTCAGAAATGTATTCTTTTTCCAGGTAATTTTCTTACATAAAAAGCTTGGTCACCTTGGTCTTGCTTAACATCTAAAATTATTTCTCAGTTGTGGAGAGTGGCCACATTGTGTTCATTACAGTAATGGCCTTCTTGGAGAAGAGTATGCCTTCCTGTCTTGCACACAAAGTAGAAGGTTTATTCAAAGTTCAAAAAGTAAATAAATGTAGCTAAAAAGTGTTTTTTTAATAGAAAGAATTATGTAATTATTCCTTAGCAACCTTTGATTTCCATTTTACCACCCATACCATCCTTCTCACTTATATTGCTGACTGTATATATGG